GGGGGGGGGGACCCTCCATCACCTCAGCAGATCCCTGCAACTCCATCTCCTATCACATCAGCCTTCTCTCCCTCACCCTGTGTTAAGGGGCTACACTCTTCTGTTCACAAAGCCTTAGACCAGCGGTTTTCAACCTTCCTAACGCTGTAACCCTTTAATACAGTCCCTCGTGTTGTACACAGTCCCTCATGTTGTGGTAACCCCCAATCATAAAATTACTTTCATTGTTATTTCATAACTGCAATTCTGCTACTGTTATGAATCATAATGTAAATATCTGATGTGCAGGATATCTAATATGCAACTCCTGTGAAAGGGTCATTCAACCTCCGGAGGGGTCACAACCCACAGGTTGAGAACCACTGCCTTAGACCACCTTGAATATACCCCTCCCCACTGGTCCATCTTGTAAGCACACTGGTTCTCATGGCATCATCTAGTCTCTTTCATGACTAAAGTCAGTCCAGGGCTCCACCACCAGGCCTGTCTGATAAGCACCTAGCATCTTCCAGATCAAAGTCACTCCTGCTTTGCTGCCTTCCTGCTAGGCCCTACCAGACACACCTCCAGAAATACCATTCTGACCATGGATTGTTCTCCTGACTAAACCACCTAGTGATTTCTTACTCGACTGCTCAGCACATCCAATCATCAAGGTCTGAAATTTAAGACCATCCTGAGACAGGATGGCAGACTTCCTTCCTGCTCCGTAGCCACTCACTGTTCTGCAAACAAGCCTTACGCCTACTGAGAACCCATTCCACCCCAGCACGTCACTCACTTTCAAAGCCATTATACTCATCATGGCTGAACTGGACACTGCACTCCTCTAGCTACCACCACCTCCCAACATCTCTAGACAGTAATGATCTCTTCTCCATTTCTCCCTCGTGGAATAGGTTCCACGGCTCTTATTACAAATAACTTCATCCTAAGAGTCTAGCTCTCTCCTAAACCTGACTCCTTAAAGATAAGATACATATCCGTCTTCTGATAAGGACTGAAATCTCCACCTCTAGAAGCATCAGATAGAGATGGATCCGATCCCGGAATCAGTAGCGTGAGATACTTCACTTGGGCAGATCCCCCTCCTCCAACTCAGACTTATTTCCTTTTCTCATCTTATTGTCCTGGGTGGAATATCCAATCCAGTATTAGATGGCAGTGGTGACAGCGGATGTCTATCTTCAGTTCATTTGTACTACGGGTTTCTAGTTAAAGAAACTGCCACCACATAACACTGAAACAAGACAGGACGGGTGGGTGGGTCCCGATGGAATGAAGTAGGACACAGTACTGGGGCACAGAGACCAGCCAAGGAGGAAAACGGAGACCAGAGGAGTAAACTAGGGGGGGTCACCAGGTCAAGAGAGCCTTTCCCTCAGATCTGAGCTTCCCAGGTAACTCAATGGATTCTCACGCTCCAGCTTCTCGCAACAGAACATAAAACAAGCAGAGAATGGCATTGCTAGAAGTCTGTTCACCCTGGCTCCCAGAATGCTCTACGCACTGGATCTTCCTGTGCCTTTCCCTGCATGAGCAACGAAGAGCCACAAAAAGGATGCTAAGGATACTGTGAAAGCAGAGCCTTCCAACACAAGGAATTCTGTCCTTGACAGGGCATGGACCAGAGGGGGAATTTTATAGGCCTGGTGACCAGATAAAACTGTCCCCTCCATGCAGCTCATCTTATTTCCTGGCCGAGTCGCTTGTAGCTGATGGAGATTGGTAACAAGGTAAGGGAACAGAGACGTGGCGCCAACAATATTCTTACACCTCCCTGTGACTTCAGGGCAGCCGACGCCAGAGCGGCAACAGGATATAGAAGTTGACAGTGAACCCCCCTTCAGAAGCTGGGAGGAGAAAAAAAACCTGAATGGAGACCCTCTCTAAGACAGCCTTCCTCCCAGGCCATTCACAAGCTAGAGGGCAGGGTTCCAGAGGGGAAGAAAATTCATCCTGCCCCAGCCATCTAGAAGTCCCCTCGATCTGCTCATCATCACACTGGGGTGTCACTGTTCTTCAGCACCCTGCCACCACTCAATAAAACACCGGGAGGAGAATGACACACCGGGGAGCTGGGGTGGCCCCTCCTCTTTCCAGAGTAAAGCTGGTAGGAGACAGTTCCGGCTGACAGGGAGCAAGAAGGTGGCTGTAGTCGGGTGTCCCATCTGGACCACACCACACTGAGTATTTTGCCCCAGAGTCACAGAGCTACCGGTCCAGGGTCTTGAGACTCAGGTAAAGCAGAGAGAGCAATCTAGAAGAGGAGCTCTCCAGGGAGCCGAGGCCCCCAATGGCCACATTTTGTTTTTATTTTTGTTTGTTTTGTTTTTGTTTTTCGAGACAGGGTTTCTCTAGAACTGTCTGGAACTATCCTGGATCTCCCTCTGTAGACCAGGCTGGCCTTGAACTCACAGAGACCCGCCTGCCTCTGCCTCCAAAGTGCTGGGATTAAAGGTGTGTGCCACCACCGGGCCAATGGCCACCTTTTATGGTATAAATACTTCCACTATGGTCCACTGTAAGCTGCCAGTGAGTAGAACCAAGGTGGGGTATGGGGGGTGATCTCTACTCTGAAGCAGGCGTGTCCCCTCCCCCATATCCAGCCTTGAGCCCAACCCAGGAGCCAATGGTCAGCTGAACTGCTTCCCCAAACCTACATCCATCCTTCCCAGGGAGGGCGTCTCCTCCTGCCTTGCAGCTGGCATGGTGACTCAGCTGCCCCTAAATTTAGGAGAAAGAGCAGAGGGCAGAGCCAGCTGCCTGGCTTCCACTTCTCCCAAAGATACCCCACCCCGTCAGCAGCGGGACTGGGCACAAGACTCACCTCACCACCACAGTCCCTGGGCCGCTCCTGTCTGGGCCTCACCTCACAACCAAGGCGGCCATTTTGTTGGGTGCAGGATTTCCCACCCACTTTGGCTGCCAGGGGAAGTATCACAAACTAGGGCTGTGGGTTAGGGTATCCCATGCTTATCTCTCCCAACATGGCTCTTTCCTGGCCTTTCATCTCAGCAGGTTCCTCTGCAGATCTCTCTCTCTCTCTCTCTCTCTCTCTCTCTCTCTCTCTCTCTCTCTCTCTCTCTCTCTCTGGAGTCACCCATCCTGGGTGGGTCTTAGCAAGAACTCACAGAACAGCGGGACTAGGAAGACCTTAAGCTCACAGGATGAGACTCCTGAAGGCCCCCATCATGGTGAACATCAGACAGAACCCCACTGTTTCAGAGTACTCTCACAGGCCTCCTGGGATTCGCTCCTGTTAGAGTGAACAACATCTAAACAACACCCAATTCCTCCCTCTAGCTTTCTACCACTGTCCCAAGGCCCTGAGCTGTGAGGACAGTGAACATTTTAACAGCTGCAGCCCCCACTCGGCTTAAAGCATCTATCCCCTAAGTCACTGGCTCCAGAAAGCCTTCCCTGATTGACTTAGTTGGTAAGCTTTGTATTGGGACCTTGGTTCTGCTCTGTCACCGCACAATGTGTCCTCTGTCAGGATCATCTATGTACTTATTCCCTGACCAAACTGCAAATGACCAGAGAGCAGGCATGGACAGACACGGATCTTCGAGCCCCAATGCCTGGCTTAGTGCCTAGTAGATGATCTATATAGGAAGGGATGGCTGAGTGAACATTCCCAAGACCTCCCCAGGCTGAAACAGTGCTACCAAAGATCTCTCACCTATGCTGTGCCCACCTCTCCCCCAAGAGACCACAGAGACCAAACAGGGGAGAGGAGGGGGAAATAAGGAGAGGTTTCCCAGGTCCCATGGTCTCCAAAGCTGTTACCTGCTACCCGGTGGGCTACCAGCCCTTCCAGGTTCAGTGGCTCTTCCTCTGGAGTTCGGGAGGGGTCTGAAGTAGTTTCCTTTGGTGGGAGCTGAAGCTGAGTGATGAGACCAGGGAGAGAGGCTGGGGGTTCCTGAGGCCCCACAGAGCTGTGGGGGCTTGGAAGGAAGGTGGAAGAGGCTGGACTCTTGGGACGGAAACTCTGGTTGGAGGCAGCCGGACGCAGCTGATAATCATAAGGCGAATATGACCTGCCAGAAGAGACCAGCTCCGGGGTTCCCAGGGAATGCCCACTAGGGATATAGCCAGATCGGGACTGGGTCAGTGGGTGGGACTGGCGGGAAGAGCCCGAGAGGGGCTGAGAAGCAAGTGGGGAAGCCCCTGGCCAGGCCCCAGGAACACTCTGGGACTTATGAAGAGGGGCAGCCGCAGATGCTGGCTCCAGATCCAGCATCAACATGTTGAGGGCTTCAATGGACTGCTCGATCTCCTGCTGAGAGGCTGCCCTTGGGAACTCTGGGAGAGCAGGTATGGGGGTTTCTGCTGACAGCTGGGGTCTAGGCTTGCTGCTGGCAGGACTCTGCAGTGGGGCTCTTTCCTGCTGGCGGGGTGGTGGGAGAGGCTGCTGCTGCTGCTGCTGCTGCTGCTGCTGCTGCTGCTGCTGCTGCTGCCGCCACGAATTCAGCCCCCTCTGCACAGCCTCTCGGCTGCTGCCCCCGCGAGCTGGAGCCTGGGGCAGCTGGGGCTCTACATCTGGAAAGGACTGGGATCGGAACAGACCACTGGGGTCATAGCCACAGTGGGTGCTAGCCACTTGCTGGGACCAGGCTGGGTGGGGTCCCTCACGCTGGTAGCCGGCTAAACCCTCCTGAGCAGAGTAGGAGGGCCGGATGGGGGCTGAGTGACTGCTGTGGACGGGCACCATCCGGCTGGCAGACTCATAGGGGTAACCTCCACCATTGAGCATCGGTTCTGCGGAATACGGCTTGTCCAGACCATTGGTCAGTGGGGACAGGGTCTCTGGGTATCCACCTTCGCTGGTGTTGGTGACCCCATCCAGGGAGGACAGCGTGCCCATGCTGCCCCCACTCTGCCCATCCTGGGTGGGCAGCTCATCATCCAGAATGTCCGTCTCCCGCTCAGATGCCAGAGCCCCACCGTTGACGTGAACCTGGGCTGGGACGATGTGGCGGCCAGGGGAGGACACCGTTGGGCCCCCGACTGGGTGGGACCTGAGTTGCTGAGCCCGGTACATGGCGCCTTGCTTCTCTCTGTCTACACCAAAGCCGCTTAGCAGGCGATCAAGCTCCTTCTTCTCCTGAGGACTCAGGGTAGCGGGGGCAGTGGCGGCCCCAGAAACAGGCTCATCGGTCTTGTCTGTCTTGGTGGAGGCGGTGGAATTGCCAGAGTCGCTGCTCACAGACAGTGTGTGTTCCACATGGTTGGGAGTGGCTGACAGGGCAGGCCGCGCGGCAGTGACGGGCACCGAACTGCCATTCAGGGAATCCTTCTTCTTCACTTTGGCATACAGGCTCCCGTCCAGAGGCCCTTGAGTGTGACCCACGACTTCTGCAAGGACAGCAAGGGAGACAGCAGGCAGCAGATGTCAGCAAAAGGCAGTCAACGCTCATCAGTGATATCCGCCCCCCCCCAAAAAAAAGAGCTAAAGGCTCCTATCCCCTGAACCCCAAACCCCTGAGGATAGCAAAGGTGAAGTACACCAGCTCCCCCAACCAAGCTTTTGGGGAAGAGCCCTCAATGGCACTCAGAGAGATACAGCCTAAGACTGTGCAGACTGGCCCAGGCTGGTGTCCAGCTGTGGTCCATCACCAGCCTCCAAACCAGAGCATCACGAAGTACCCCATGGGCCTCAGCAACCTTCTTCTTAATATGAGGGCGAGAGGCTCGGGAGACGGTTCAATGGGGAGCGCACTTCTGCACAAGAGTGAGGAGCTGAGTTCAGTCCCCAGCACCCGCATTAAAAATAAAAATAAAAAACCATAGATAAATCCCTGGGTCAACCAGTTTAGCCATATTGAATAGGCAAGCTACAGGTCCGGGTCCAGTGAAAGCCCGTTTCAAATAGTAAGGTAGACAAAGACGGAGGTGAGGAAGAGACACGCAGTGTTAACCTCTTAACCTCTGGCCCCCATGTACACACACACACACACACACACACACACACACACACACACACACACACAATTAATAATAATAATACAATAAAATGAAGACAGTATAGAATCATATAAGACAACCCCTATCCACTGAACTCAAGACACTTCCAGCTGAATGAGCCGACACCCTACAGTGATATCACGGGAGCCATGACTCCTGTGACCATGAACACCAATACTGAAAGGGGACATCCCGAGCCTACTCAGCCCTCACACGACCCACTTCAGGAAGCTTCCTCTGCTTTCAATCCCTAGGAGTCCTGCCCTGGGCTGGAGGCAGCAGGGTCAGGAGAAGAGGCATTACCTCAGATACAAGCACATAAGGTTTAAGTATGGAGACCCAGGGGAGCCAACCTTCAAGCAGGGGAGCCAAGGAGAGTCCCAGAGGATTGGAGGTATAAATACATAGACCTCATCATTCCCTGCATAGAGGGGATCTGGAGCGTCCCAGGGGTGGTAGGCGATTGGGCAGGATCCACACATGCTCAGTGCGAGGCTGGGCAAAGAGGCTGATGTCAAAGTTAAAGCGAAGACAAACCAGCCCTGGCCTTCCACACTGTCGTTTAGCTCAATACAAAGAATTTTCCGGAACAGTTCAGACAATGCCATTCTTCCCTCCCACTGCTACATTTCCAGAAGTTTCTCCACATTTCTCCCAGAGCACCGTTCCGTCCTCGTGGACCCCATCAACAGCAGGCCTACCTAACTCAGGACATAGAAGCCTCTAAGGAAGGGAAGGAGAGTCGAGGTGGGAATGCAGGGGGCTCCCCCAAAACAAGCACTCAGATCCCTGCAGCTCCCCGAATGGGAAGGTTGGATGTTGGTGCTCCAGGACTACCCATGCCAAACTCCTACGGAGTGGGGGGTAAAAGAGGGTTCGTGGGGTGCTAGGGCCAGGCCAGAGCACTAGCAGAAGCATCTTAGGTATGAAGTCATAGGGGTGTCCTTTTGTCTGCAGACAGTTCTGGGGACCCTCCCCCCCCCCCCCGCAAGAGCAACACTTTCTCTGATAGGAAAAAGTGAATGCTGAGTGGCTGGGGGCCAGAGGGCTGACTCAGAAGCAAGGGCTGCCCCTCCCCTGCCCGGGCAGTTCAATGACTTCACACCCTAAGGAGTCATCAGCAGCCCCCGCTCCAGCCTTCCCACCCCCACCCCACACATATACCTCCTCTCCTAACTCTCCAACCCAGACCCTAGGTATGGGGGGGGAGATACCTCCCAAAGGTTGCACCAACTCCAGCCTGGACAACACCCCCCACCACCACCCAGTTATACACAAAGCCAGACCCAAGAGCCCTGAGAAATACACATGCCATAGAAATCAGTCAGTCAGACACCAAGACGGGTCCACACCGAGTTCTCACGGAGGGCTCAGTGGGAAGCAACATCTGTTTACATGTCCAAACACCAGTCACGGCTAGAAGGCGGGACCTGGGGACGAGTCTCCATGTACCAGACATGTTACTAGGCACTTCACACATGCAGTGTTGCTGGGCCTGTTACTCAAGGAGGATTGTGCCTCCAGGAAAGATGGAGAAACAGAGGCACAGATAGGCAAAGGAATCCACTTTCAAATGCGTGGTATCTGTGAAAGCTCTCAGTGAGAACTAATTTACTTTAAAGACCAAGAAATCTGGATTCCACAACTTTTTTCTTACAGCACACACACACACACACACACACACACACACACACACACACAGGGGTGGGGTGGGGGGAGAGAGAGAAAATAAACACACAAAAGGCAGGAATAATCCAAAATAAATATTTAAGCTTAAAGCCACAAACACTTCAAAAAGTACAAGCGATCTTGCCATGCCCGAGAATTATCCCTCGGGCCCAAAGTGAGCCGCTGAAAACAAACCCTCTTACAGAAGATTATGGCCAAAAACAAGTGATCGGACGACCACAAAACAGGAATGCCTCCAGCGGTGCTCCTGTACACAAGGGCCCACAGGCCACAGGCCACCACACGCCACTCAAGAGCTCTCAGAGATGCTGGCCAGACACGCTCTCCAGGGCCAGAGAGCTACAACTCTGGCCTCAGTTTCCACTGAGGCTTTAGGAGCTACACACAAGTAACCAGCCCTAAGTGACACAGAGCTGCCTATTGAGCCTGACAGCCCCGGCTCTCGGGACTGTGGCCTGAGAGTGCCACCCGCCTACCTTTGGGCCAGACTCCTAAAGATTAAGGTGGGCCCTGCATTGGCTGCCTCTCTGTCTTCCTTGCCCTTCTCTCCAGAGGAGTAACGCATAGGACAGGAGGCTTCCCCCTGGCCCTGTCTCTCTGAGAACTGGCTCCCTGTTTAGTGGCTGCTTCTGGAGGGGACAAGTACCAAAACCTAGGGCTGACATGCACAGGGATTTGTGAGGTCTCTGGAGGGTGGGTCCCTTGGGCCAGAGGGCAGGAAGAGTTGCCCTCCTTCCTCTGAGCCTAAGCAGCTGCAGACCCTCGGCACAGGTAACAGAACAGATGCCGGTCGTCATATCCCTACATCTACAGGCTCTCCACAGCTCCACCTGCCCTGCCCTGCCCTACAGCTTCTTCTCACTCAGCTACAGCGGCCAGGAGAGCCACTGGTGATGATCCGATCCAGGCCATCCCAGAATCGACCCAGGAGCTGGTAAAAGAAGAGCATTCCCCAAGGCAGGCAGGAGCATGCCGCCGGCTGATTCTCAGCACCTGACCTCCTGGCCCCTCCCGGCTCCTTCTCTTCCCCCCTCTTAGCCAGCCAGCCCTCCCTCTGCATTGATTTTGAAAATGTCAATATTAAACTTGTCCTGCCATGTAACATATCTCGCGTGGGCTATTGTTCTCAGCAACGTCCGGAATGTCAACTGCCAAGCCACTGAATCTCAGGAAGAAAATCGAAGAGGTGTAAATTATTTAATTAAATACTGCTTGTGAAATACAAAGGCAAACATCTCTTGCTGTCCTGGGGGGGGGGGGGAGCTAGCTGCTCCTGGCTGCCTAGGGCTGGCCACAGGGGGCCCCCCCGCCCTCCAAGCTACCACAGTACCTTCATTGAGTAGGCCTCTACCTTGTGAGAAGGGCAAAATCAAGGATATGCAGACCTGTCCAGGCCCCAGCAGGGCTTCATCTGATGGCCCAGTGAGCAATACCCAACCTGTGGAGCACTCTCAACTTCCTCCTCTTAGGGACACCCAGGTCAGTACCTCCAGCCCCCCATGCCAGGGCGCACATTCTCGGGCTCCCTCTTCCCACCACAGTCACATTAAAACCTACTTAGCGGGACCACAAGAAGCCGGAACGCAAGGCTGGTTTCAATCCATCAAAGCAGGAAGGGCAAAGAGAAAGGCGGACACCAGAGAACAGGATAAAGTGGCAGGGAGACGAGAGGGACCTGTGAGGGGCTGGGGGAGGGGCATCTAAGGCTTATAGGCTGAGGAGTCAGGGACTCAGCTCATCCGAGGCCCAGCAACCAACATGAGCATGTCAAGCAAGTAAAGTCCCTAAAAAAAGGAAGAAGGTCACGACTCAGAGAAGTCTGGCATAGAAGAAGGGTCTGGCTGGGATGGGTCATGAGTCCTGGCCAGGTGAGAAGAGAATGGAAAGATTAGCAATACCAGACACTCAGATTGCTATCAATCCTGGGCAGCAAGGCCCCAGGCCCCAGAGCAGGCTAGCTGAGCGTCCTCTTTTGTCTGTCACAGGCTGTATCCTGTCCATTTTTCCAGGAAATCTGACAAGTCCACGGTGGACTCAAGGCTCCACTCACTTCGTCTGACTGTCTGCTCATTCTAGCAGCCACTGGGAGAGGGACCCAGCCCAGGATGCTGTGTTTGGTTGCATGCACCAAGGGGCCCCTTGCTCCACCAGGGCAGGGATCCAGATGGGCGAGTCATAGTTTTGGAAAGATCTGAGGAAAATCCCCAGCTGACTTGGATGTGGACCCACTCGCTGGAGCTCCCTCCCAGCAGCACCCTGTGCGGAGGTATGCCAAGCACTAACAACAGTACCACCACAGGCCAGGACGCAGACAGGGCAAGGCGCGCCCATCCGACACACGGAATAGGAGAAAAGATGTGGAAGGTGGTAAGGTTAAGTGAGTCTTTGGGAAGCGTTTGTTAATTCTAATGCTCAGGACTCTTTGCAGGAATTATTAAGAATGCAGAGCCCAGGGCCCTTCTGAAGGATTCGCACTGGGAGGCCTGAGCTGGGGCTGAGTCTCAGCACTGTAAACACGCTATTTGTAGCTTTGGATCTGAGATTTGGATCCGAACAGAGCAGTTGCATGTTGAGACATCGGGACAGACAGCCCAGCCGTGGAGACGCTGAGATGCTGGTCTGATTGGCTCTGAGAAAGGCACCCCCATCCCTCCACCCCCACCCCGGCTTAGGAGGAGTCCCGGAGGAAAAACCTAACCTGA